AAGTTCTTTTATTTTCAAAGGGCTTTTGGGGAGGCGGTTTGTGTTCTCACAATTTTCCAGGCTAATTTAGCTGGGAAAACTGTGGGACTACTGTCTGGGCTGCCCCTCAAATGCCCAGAACCTTTGAGGGAGCAGTCCAGACAGGGGAAGTAGTGGGTTTATCCCATGCCTTCCAAGAAGGCATGGAATAAACACACTAACAAATTAATTCTCCACAAACCAGGGCTTTTTCTGGTTTGTGGTGAATTAATTCATGTTTCTCAGGGATGTTATCTGGACAGCCCTCTTTTAATTGCAGGAACTCCTGCATTAAAGGAGCCATCTGGATGTGCCCTATATGGTTCTGTGAAAAAGAGAATTGCAGCAAGTGTTGTTCATCATACAACCAGGTTACAAGCAACACCTGATGAAATTCCTGCTTCTACATAACCATTAGAGGTATCACTCACTTTCGCCAACCATCTACCAGCCAGGAATACTCCTGAAAGATAGCCATCCAACAAAGAAGAGTCTTTAGCAACATCTAATAAATGAGAGTCCACTACCTTCTGCCAGAGGACATTCCTGCATGGCAGGGATTTGGACTATATGGTCCTTGTGGTCTCTTCCAGTTCTTTTGGACAGCGTTTCACCACAGCACCCTTAGAGAACATTTTACTTAGCATTAGCAATATATTTGCCTTCCAGGCTTGTGAAATGTTTCACACATCCTAGGTTCCTAGAGTAGAGTGTTTCAGGCATCTTTGACAGACAAATTAAAGTGTGCTCGGCAGGAGTTATGACATGCCATTTATAATGTTGCACTTGCTTATAAATATTTATTTGCAAGGAGCCCCCTCTTGTCTTAATTTAGAAACTGCCTGGCACTTGATGGCTCTGCTACAGATTCTCAGTTAACTCCTTACTTTTAGCTTACAACAAAGTTGTAGCTATGGGAGGAGAGCATTGTCCCTTCAAATTGGTATGCTACACCTTCCCCAAACATATAGCAAAAGATACTTGTAATTTTCACATATCTAGAAATTTCACGGTATACATGGGAGGAGGAAAGCTGATTTTTAACCACAATCCACCTTGTGCTCTACAATTGCAAGCCCCGTGGATGTAAAATGCTTTACATGAAACAACAATGCATATTCTAAGTCCAGCATGCTAGCTATTATACCTTTAAAACACAGTTCCCAGGGCCATCAATTCTGTGTATATCTCAGAAACAATTGTTCCAATATATGCCACGAGGGGGCAGTCTTGCACTTTCAAGCCTCGGAATTTAACCTAATCACCACCTCAATGTCAGGACTCTGGATCCTTATGCAACTAGAAAAGGTTATCAGGACCCTCCGGAAAATGGAGAGGTGGAAGAGAAGGAAACCTCAATCCCAGTCAGGTCTGAGTCTGTGCAGTGGCAATGGAATAGCTGAATGACATTTTTTTTGGGGGGGGGGGGGGTTATTAAAGAGAAGGGGAATGCAGTATCTTAGAAAATGAAATGGGTAGATAACCAAGACATTAAAACATTGGGTTGCCAGACYCACGGTTTTGTGACTACTGTACAAAACAGCAATTTTCCACAAATGATTTCGGATATATTGCTGGGTTTTTTTWWAAAAAAATSATAGAGTAATAACAGTTTTACTTCTTTTGATCCATGATTTGTGGCATTCAAATTCAAAGTACAGTCTTTCACTTTTCATCAGCTAGTAAGACAAACAGTTGACATGTCTGAGGCAACAATGTAAATTCCAAAGCAACTGATTGCTGGAGTTGCTTCTGTGATGGTGTAAGAGGAGCATGTGGACAGGGGGAAATAACTAATTTAAGAGATCGTTTACAAAGCACATGAAAGCCTCCCCCCCCCCCACTAGTTCTATATACAAGCACGCAGTAAGTATGCAAGGTCAGCATGGAGAGGAGGGAGAAAAGTGTGCTCTGTCCACTCTGTTGCCAGTTCCATTGCTCTCTGTGAAAGAAAGCGGGCAGAGAAGTTTGATTACCATGCTCCCCATGTTAAGTCTTCATTTATTATGAATGCCTGCATCAGGCCAGAATATAGCCAGTGCCCTGTAATAGTTGGTATACTGAATTTGAACGATCCAGGTTCTAGTCCTCATTGGACCATAAAACTAATGCATTGACCTTGGCCTAATGACATACTCTCTCAGCCAAACTGTTTGACATGTTTGTTGTAAAAATAAAGTGAGGAAGAGGATGGCTGTGGGTGTTGCTTTGAGCTCACTGCCAGAAAGGTGGAATACCACTGTTACTAGGAAACAAAACAAATGAATAGAACATATGCATTTAGGAGAAATAATCCTGAAAATATGCATTTTAGCAACCAGAACTTAAGATCCTGCACAACCTCATAGCACATGGTATTTCATAGGATAATACTTGTAGTTGCATAATAGTCGCACCTTCCTTATGAGAAAGGCAATACCAGACATTTCCTGCATAATAGTCGCACCCTTAGTTCATTCACCTGGGTGAGTTGAGTCCCGCAGTGGCAAAAGGGACTCCCCTCCCTGCCTGCCCTCTTTTCCTTTTGACAAGGGAGCAGCTGCGTGGGCAGGTGAGGCTCCCCCTGTCCATGCAGCTGTCCCCTTTGAAGGTGCAGCCATGCAGGCAGGTGAGGCTCCCCTTGTCCATGCAGCTGTCCCCTTTGAAGGTGCAGCCATGCAGGCAGGTGAAGCATCATCCACCCATGTGGCTGTGCTCTCACAAGGACTACTGTTATGTGTTTAAAGAAGCCCCTCAATGGGACTTTTTTCACCATGTAATAGTCGCCATCACATAATAGCCTTTTCCCCCTAAAATGCGGGTGTGTGCAACTTTTATGCAATGCAATATGGTACTTCTCTGAGACTTTCTCCAGTACAACTCTGTAGTAACTTCCAGTAGAAATAATTCATTTCAAGAGAGTTTACTATTATTCAGTTTCCCGTTTCAATGGTAAGTTGTGAAACATATCCCCTGTAGACAAGGGTGTTGTACTATATTACTAAATCCACACCTCCCTGGCTTAGAAGCTCCCTTTGTCAAGTTACAGGACAAGACTGAGGATAGTCATGGGATATTCCTGAGATGTCAGACTGAGAAAGGGGAAAGTTACAAACCTGGTAAGAACTGTGCTGTGACGTGCAGGCTGCCTCTGTGCTGGTGGGAAGGTTGCTCAAAAGCAGCAGCTGATGGAGTCCAGGGTTGAGTGGAATCCATCCAGGCAGGAGAGGAGGAAAGGCGGCAAGCGAAAGGCACAAAAAGGGTGAGGCAGTGCAAGGCAAGGCAGGCAGGCTAGGATCACAAGGCAGGAATATGGTGTGAGCAGCTGTGAGGCAGGAGTCCCATCATGGCTGAGTGCTACCTGAGAAATTGTCATGAATATGAGGCTGACTAGCCTATCAGAGGCTATGGAGATGTTTGAAGCTGAATTAGACAGAGAACAATGCCTTTTGCAATTTCTCTGAGAATTGTGGTTTTAAAAAGTTAAGAAAATAGCACCCTGCCCAGCAACATCAAGAAATGGCCATAAACAAGATGAGCCCTATGAAATCCCATGATAGACAATGGCACAGTGAAACAGCGTCTCTCGTATGAAATGGCAAGGTCTGTGTTTTGAATTTAAAAAAGAAAAAACCTTCAAGCTCCTTATAGTTGAACCCATGGATACAGAATCCATAGATACAGAGGGCTGACTGTTTCTTGGCCTGACATTCAAGCTTAAATGAGTCTACTTAAGATCTCCCCCTTCAGCTCTAGTTTCACTCAGTTAGTCAACAAGTAGCATGTGACTTTACCTTTATTCATACAAAGCAATCTTTTAGCATTGCTAACCAGAGAACAGATACTCTCATCGCCCCAAAAGTTAAGTGCCTGTGGCAGAACATATTTATATGCCCCATCCCTCAAAGGTAACAATATAATCACAAACTAGATGATTTCCTGCCTGTTGCTAGTGTCTCTATTGCTTGTACATAGTCATGCCACGTCTGTGTGACCCTACTCTTCCTTTATTCTGTCTTATCAGTCCTATGTCTGGCACTGAGTAAGGAACAAGAAATGGACATAAACTTCTGTGGTATTATTTCTCAGCAAAGAGCGGCAGATTATTTATTTTTACTGGCTACTTCAACATACATTGTCTATTTCTTAATGGTATTGTTAAACTATTGGGTTTTGAGGCATGCCCTCCATTAATGGCAAGGGTAGCAACAAAACCAGGAAGAAGAAGGGAATGCAGAAAGGGAAGGAAAAGAGCAAGAACAGCACATTGCTTAGGGGAGGGTTGCACATGGCATAGAGGCAATGGGATTTCTCTTCAGGGCAAACATGCATTTGGTTTGCTATGCAGATTTCTGTATTTTTCCTAAACTTCAAGAAACCCATTCAGGGAATCCTTTCTGTACAGTATAATTTCTAGAGCCCTCTGTATGTTTTGGATTTTAACTCTCATCTATCCATGCCAGTGTGGACAAAGCTTGGGTGTAATGGGCAATATAGTCCAAAGCACCTAGAGCAAGGGTCCCCAAACTAAGACTCACGAGTCGGATGCAGCCCTCCAAGGACATTTACCCAGCCCCTGCCCTAAACTTTAGACTTAGGGTTGCCCTAAGTCTGAAGTGACTTGAAGCCACACAACAACAACAATCTTAATTAACTAGATTATACCATCAGCCAAAAGCAAATTGATATTTTCCATTGAAGTACTGGTAAGTTTATGTTGGTTAAAATTGTTCTTCATTTTAAATATTGCATTGTTTACAGTACAAATAAGATATGTGTAGTGTGCATAGGAATTCCATGTTTTTTCAAACTCTAGTCTGCCTACCCCAGTAGTCTGAGGGACCATGAAACAGCTCTCTGCCTAAAAGATTTGAGGACCCCTGACCTAGAGAGTACCCGAGTGAGGAAGAAGAGTGGTGCAGAGAAACAAAGGACCTTATAACAATTGTACAATAACAATAGTTAGTTCCCAACCATGGCTACAGTAGCCAAGCTGCCCTTACGGTAAATCCGATGCCCACAGTTGCAGAAAAAGAGCCTGGTATGAACTTGCCCTGGTCAAATTGAACCAGCAGTGATGTCTTGCCCACTCCACTGTCTCCAACTAGGATAGTCTGCAGAAAAACAGAAAGATATATTAAGTTCACTCAGTTTAACAAACAGCCAAATTGAAGCAGCTGGTATCTTATCTCTCAGTCTCCAAATACAAGTGCAAGTAGTGAATTAATATGTACCTTTATAACATTAGAGGAGAATGGCTAGGTGTGGACCTCAGGCATGTGAGGTGTCAGGTAAAGTCTCGCATGCTCTGCTAGATGCAAATCTTAAACCAGGGCATTTTCTTCCTACATTTTTCAAGATTGTTCTTCTCTCCACGAGCCAGTAACTGGCTTCCATAATGTAAGCACTGAGAGTTGGTGGGCCCAGTCTCTGCAGAATAATGAGATTGGTCCCATGTTCTTGGTTTTAGCCTGATCTTTAAAGGAGCTTTTTAGATGAGGAAGCTGTTTTTGGTGCCAGAGTTTAGCACTTAGGAAACACTTTAAAATTGGAACTCAAACTCCAGGAAAGAGTCACTGCCCCATGACTTTGGAAGGCAGCTGCTGCCAGTAATGTGCTGTCTAAAGCTGGAATCACTGGGTTGCTGTGAGTTTTCCAGGCTTTATGGCCATGTTCCAGAAGCATTCACTCCTGACATTTTGACACATCTATGGAAGGCATCCTCAGAGGTTGTGAGGTCTGTTGGAAACTAGGCAAGTGGGATTTATATATCTGTGGAATGCCCAGGGTGGGAGAAAGAACTCTTGTCTGCTTGAGGCAAGTGTGAATGTTGCAGTTTGCTAGCTTGATTAGCATTGAGTGGCCTTTCACCTTGATTACCATTTAATGGCCTTGAAGCAGGAAACAGCCAGGTTTTAAAGCTTCAAGGCAATTCAGTGCTAATCAAGGTGACCATAGATTCCATAGAATTGCTGGTGATGCCAGCCATAGAACCCTCTAAGGCCTCCTTGAATCTCAAAGGATCCATTAGCCATTGAGGGAGAACTATTTTAATAGGTCCTCCAGCCCTACATGGGTAGGTTGTAGCTCAGATATTGGTCTTGATCAGAAAAGGATCTGACCATGTCAACTCAAAGGTATTTATCTCCTCTGCCCACAGATCCATATGTTCTGAGCTGAAAATCGAATCAAGGGCATGACCTGCTCCAGAAACCAATTGGGATAGACCCACGTTTGCCATGGGTACATGAACTCCCAAGCTGCACATGACAAACTGGCCTTCAAAGGTACGTTGGAGTCCCCAGAAGCAAAAGTCTGGGTGACTCCAACAACACTTCCAAGGCAAGTTCTGTGAGCTCGGCCAGAGAGTCTGTTAGGCAGCAGGATGGACGGTACACTAACAGAATCCCTAGTCTATCAGTGGTTTTCAGACTCAGGTACACACACCCAATGTGTAGCAGCATGATAGGAGAAATAATACCAAAAGAGATCCTTTGTTTGGAGGTCAGAAAAGTACGTTTATTTCCAGCTGGGACTCTGGTGAGGAATTGTGTCCAAAAGCAACCAGAGTGAGGATAAAGGCGTTGACTGTGCCTTTTATACCTCTACCAATGTAGGCAAACAAAGAAACATGTTTCTACATACATTGACATCACTTCGTCACCTTAGCATCATAGAAATATCAAATTATATCTTCCAACATGCGCGAGGCATGTCTCAGTATTTTTTTTCTAAAGAGCAGCTTACATCCATCAGGGGCCTACTTTTGAGCTGTCAGGAGGGAGGGGGATAGGCTCCTTACTTTTTACTTATATCTGTTGGTGCTTATCTCCCCCTTCCTAGAATGTTCACCCCCCTCCTGCCCATGCCTTGGACACAGATCTCCTTCAGCATTTTTTTTCTCTGTCAGCTCAGTTTTCTAACACAGAACCTGATTTTTCTAAATTTCAGTGCTTCTAAAGTACATACAATTTATGTATCAATAAATATCTATATTTCCAATATCTCCCTATCAAATGTGATTCAGCTCCCTAATAGGAAATCTGGTCTGGTTAAGATAATCTTTATAGACCATAGCTACCCTCTTGATTCACTATCATCCCCCAGCCAAGTTTCAGTGAAGCATGCCAAGGCAGACCTTTCATCCTTGAGGAGATCAAGATGAGGTTTGGTGTTTACTGTATTAAACTCCATTATCCAAATCAATCTTACGTATGTGTTTTAAATAAAGATTTCATAGAGCTACACCTTTCTCTCCTTTCTCTTTTAAGGGTATAGACAACAGGATTTCACCAACAGTCACACCTCTGTTCCACCCATTAGGAAGGAAGTTGAACTGTCACAGTGTCTGCAACTGGGCAAGGAAAGGAGAAGTGGTTTGGGAGTTTGCTTATCAAGAAGTTTGTGGCATGCATATATTAGAGAAAACATTCGCGGGAAGGGAAGTACGTAGATTTCACTGATAGTGTTATAAAGAAGCAACGGAAACGCAAGTTCTTGTTTTCTATTTGCTAGTCAAGGTAGTGAACAAAGAAGAGAGAATGCAAGCCCATGAGGATGGGCAACCAGCTGCAATGGCACTTAACAGTAGGAGCCCTCTTCCTTTTAACAGGTAAGATGGTTGCTTTTTCCTGTCTCATCTTAGGGGACATGGAAGCCCCGAGAGAGTTGGGAATGTGTGGCCCCAGCAACAGAAGTACTAGAGACAGAGGCATCAAACTAGGAGCTGTTTGTCTTTGCAAATTAAAGACTTATAGTCAGATACAATAAATGAATGCTTTACATATTCAGCATTAGGGAGCATTAGGGACATAAATGGATGGAAGGTAGGTTGGAATTTCTGGAAAACCTCTGGGTTGCTGGAGTGGGTTTCTCATTCCCAATTGTTTAAAATGAACAGCTGCAACAAATGGACTTCCCACCCCATTTGGATTACATTGATCAAGTGAATAAAGTACCTTTGGTATAAGCAGGAATTGAAGGACTATAATACAAGCTCTGTTCAGTTCCAGTAGTATGTAAAATAAAGGACAGAGGACCCTTACTATCTGCTGGGGTTTGGTTCAAGGACTCCCAAAGGATACCAAAATACATTAACATTAACATCCCATTATAAATAGTGGTGTAGTAAATGAACATCCCTTATACAAAATAGCAGAATCAAGTTTTTTTCTTTGAACTTTTGGGGGTGGTTTGGAGAGAATATTTTCAAGGTCAAGAATTCATGAGCACAGGATCTGTGGGAATAGAGGGCAGGCTGTAAAGTAAAATAAATTGGAGCTACACATTCTTTAATGCTAATGTGTTTGTGATGGTTTTAAATTGTGTTTAATGTTATTGGTAGACTTGATTTGTTTCTTTATGTGAGCTGCCCTGGCTCTTGCTCTGAGAAAAAAGGCAACAGACAAATGAAGTAAACAAATAAGTCTTACTCCAAGCTATATCTGGAGAATTTTATTTCAGACTTCTAATAAATACAATTCTGATTTTTTGTGTCATTTCTATAACATTTTAGACATATACATATGCATATAAATGTCTCTCTACCTAGTCTACCCTCCACGAATTTGAAGATGGGGGTATAAGCCTATGAAAGCTTAATCCCTATAAAATATGTTAGTTTTTAAAGCACTGGGAAACTTCTTGTGTTCTCTGTAACACAGTTACTACTCAGTCTGAAAGAGCAGTGGTTCTCAACCTTCCTAATGATGCAAATCCCTGAATACAGTTCCTCATGTTGTGGTGACTCCCAACCATAAAATTATTTTCGTTGCTACTTCATGATTGTAATTTTTGCTACTGTTATTAATCTTAATGTAAATATCTTGTATGCAGAATGTATTTTTATTCATTGGACCAAATTTGGTACAAATACCCAATATGTCCAAAATTGAATACTGTTGGGGTTGGGGAGTGGGATTGATTTTGTCATTTGGGAGTTGTAGTTGCTGGGATTTATAGTTCACCTCAAAGAGCATTCTGAACTCCACCAATGATGGAATTGAAACAACCTTGGCATATAGAACTCCCATGATCAACAGAATATACTGGAAGGGTTTGGTGGGCATTGACCTTGAGTGTTGGAAGTGTAGTTTGCCTAAATCCAGAGAGCACTGTGGGTTCAAACAATGATGGATCTGGACTAAACTTGGCGCAAATACTCAGTATGCCCAAATGTGAACATTGGTGGAGTTTGGGGAAAATAGATCTTGACATTTGGGAGCTGTAGTTGGTGCGATTTACAGTTCACCTACAATCAAATAGCATTCTGAACCCCACCAACGATAAAATTGAGTCAAACTTCCCACACAGAACCCCCATGACCAACAGAAAATACTGTGATTTCTGATGGTCTTTGGTGACTCCTCTGACACTCCCTCATGACTGCCACAGGGATCCCGACCCCTTGGTTGGGAAACACTGCTATAGAGAAAATCCATTGGAAATGGCACCAGCTAAGAAACAAGCAGCTGATGCTTTTGACTGTATAGATGTAACAGACAGAGGCAGCAAATAGAGTTTTGTTTTAGAGAAATAATCATCTTCCTTTCTAATATCCCACCACTCCCTCATGTTACCTCAGGCGAATCAGAGGAATGGAAAAAAATGTTGACTAGGTCAGATCACAAGCCATTACAATCTGGTTAGTCCAATTCTCAGGAAACCAAACTTTTCAAAAATGTGCTAGAGAATCTGAGAAAGTTCTGGACAAAGTTCTTACCAAACAATCTATTTTATGTAAAGGGGTGGGTGGGATTTTAGAAAACAAAATGATGGGGTACATTTTAAAAAATTATTATACACACACACACATATATAGAAACATACAATCTCAAAAATTCAGCAGTCAAAATACAAGTATTTTTTGCAAATCCCTCCACCACCACATCCTCATCCCCCACCCAGGAACAGTTTACTACTCTTGCTATACTTACTACAAATGTCAATCACGAGAATAGTCTTATTTAACTCCTTATATCTATCTTTCCCCTTTATTCTGGAAATGAGACCCTTCCATTTTGCCTCCCGGGTCCTTCTGATTTGGCCCGTCCTATAATAACTTTTCCTTTCACTAATATCTTGGAGTAGGTAGTCAGCTAGGTATTTATACCAAGTTTTTATATCCCATTTCTTGTGGTCCTTCCAGCCGAGGACAACTTGCATCCATCATGTGTTTTATTATTTCCTCCCATTCTTTAAATCCTCATTTGACTTCCATGTTCTGAGTGAAAAACTGAGTCTTGTTCCATTCTATATTTATCCCTAATACCTCCTCCATTTCCTTCTTAATTATCTTATGGAACTTGTATATTTTTTCACATTCCCACCACATGTGAGTGTGTGTGCCATTTTTTTCGCAATTATGCCAACATAGTTTTGTGCAGGTTCTTGTAATATACGCCAATTGCACGGGGGTTCTATGCCATTTTGTCAGTATTTTCTGTTGCATTTCCTTAATCTTTAGATGTTTTGTTTTATTGATTGATTTTATCCAATTGTCTATTTCTCTGTCACTGCAACTTAATTCCTCCTTCCAGGCTTCTATCAGGGTATATTTTGCGTTGCATTGTATTTCTGTGAGATGGGGTACATTTGAAAAGGGTTGTTGTGGAAACAAGGCTTGGTGAGAAAGTTTCAGTCGAGACACCTTTTCCCCATGGTAATTCTTACAGGAGTGAATTTCCTTTTCTGCGGTTGATTTTTTCTCACTTCCTGTTGTCTCACTCTCATTCTTAACTGTGAGTCATTTGTAAGTTGGATGTTTGTAACTCGGAGGCTTCCTGTATATTGGACTTCCTAGCTATGCATCCTGTATTGCCAGCAAGTAACTTGACAACTTTCTGCTTCACAGCTTAATTAACTGTCCTAATATGCATTCATTCTGCTTTTCAGGTTTTACATCTGCTCTGGTAGGCCCTAAAAAAGTTATTGGGTTTATTGGCAGGTCACTGTCTCTGGTGTGTAAATATGAAAAAGGATATAACAACTACATAAAATATTGGTGCAAAGGAGCTGAGTGGGGTTCATGTAAGACTGTTGTTGAAACTGATGGATCAGAAGCAGTGGTGAAGAAGGGCAGAACCATCATCAAGGACAACCATATAAATTTTGAATTCACAGTCACCCTAGAGGACCTCACAGAGAAAGATGCTGGGAAATACTGGTGCGTTATAGAAAGAACTGGACCTGACATTGGATTCCGTGTAACTATTGAAGTTCTTCCAGGTGAGTTCTCTTTCCCAAACTTTGCAGCAAAATAAAAACAAAGAAATACGATTAAAAGAAGAAAGCATAAGAGATGAAGAGTAAAATTGGTCCTAGCCCACTTAGAATGGGCATTACTAGGTACAAAACTTTGAAGAGTGTATCTACTGGGAATATGCACGTCTAAGAACAAACGACAGTTATTGGCAAGGTGGATGCTTTTGTACTGTTCAGAAGCAGGTTTTTTGTGTGTGTAACTTTTGCCAAAATTTATTATAGTGGAGAAAAAGTTGATTTAGAGTGTCACAGGATATGATTGGACTTATATATACATGTAGAAATGTTAATTTTGGCCCAGATTATTTTCTAGCAATTTGCTGTACCAGCAGTAACTTTTGTATCCATCAGGGAATTCTTTTTGGTTTTTAAAACATATTAGTATATTATGTTATTTTCCCTTCACCTTTCCTCTTTTTCTTTTATTTATCCTTTTTAACGTTATAGTGCATTAAGAAATTGGGAATTTTATACAGCAATCATAAACAGAATAGTATTGGGGTTTTTTAATTTATTATTCACACAGGTACACATACATATTAGGAAATTATATCTCTGTGGGTTTTAAAAAAATCAACAGAGACTTCCAAGAGTAGTCATTTCAGAACCACTGGCAATAATCTTTGAGAATTCTTGGAAAACAGAAGAAACCCCAGCAGACTGGAGGAGGGCAAATGTTGACCCTTTCTTCAAGAAGGGACAAAAAGAGGCCCCAAACAATTGCCATCAGGTCAACTTGACATCAATCTCAGGAAAGATTTGGGAGCAGATCATTAAGGAGGAAAACTGTAATCACTTAGGAATTCTGTTATCACTAAAAGTCAACATGGATTTTTCAAAAACAAGTCATGAAACTCTTTTATCAATAGGGTTATAAGCTTGGTAGATGCAGGGAATACCATGAATGGCTTGATTTCCATAAGGCCTTTGACAAGACCCCCATTATCTTACTGCAAACAAGCTAGTAAAATGTGGGCTGGACAATGTTACTGTTAGATGGATTTGTAATTGGTTAAGTGACCAAACCCAAAGGGTGCTCACCAATGGTTTCACTTCATCCTTGGAAAAAGTGACCAGTGATGTCCATAAAGAGGGTTCTGTCCTAGGCCCAGTGCTGTTCAACACCTTTATTAATGGCTTGGATGAAAGTTCAGAGGGCAACTTATCAAGTTTGCAGATAACAACAAATTAGGAGGGATAGTTAATACTGCGGATGACAGGATCAGAATTCAAAATGGTCTTAATGGATTAGAGAGTTGGAGCAAAACTAACAAAATGTATTTCAGCAACAAAAAATGTAAGACCCTACACTTAGGCAGAAAAAAATGAAATACAAACATATAGGATGATGTCTGGCTCAACAACAGCACACGTGAAAGAGATTTTGGAGTCTTAGGGCCTCATCACACTTGAGCATTTTCCCACTTTAATCCAATTTGAATGCTGTGACTGCCTCCTGCAGAATCCTGGGACTTGTAGTTTAAGGAAGCCCAGGGTTTCTCTGGATGAGCAGTTTAAAAGCCCCCTCCATAAACTGCAAACTCCAGAATCCTGTACTTGGGACTTTTATCTTCTTATTAAGCTTTGTGCAAAGTGGCCAGAAATTAGTTTCACTTTAGCCTGGAATCTCTTATCTTTCTTTCTCTGAGCCTGGCAGAATGCCTGAGCCACTGATCTGCTCTCCTATTTTAACTAATAACATCCCATCTATCTATTTGCTCATTAATTTCAGCAGCTGGGCCAGGTGCCGAACTGTTCTCAAGCTCCAAATCATGAGAATTCTCCAGTAGCAATTCAAGGAACATACTATCATCCCCACACCGTTCAGGGACATTCTCATGAGAAAATACACTTTGAACAGGGATCTCCTGGTCATTCTCTGCATCAGTATCATTGGAAACACCATAACCTTCATGAACCTCATTGCCATCATTCCCCACATCCAAAGCACCCTGATCCTTAAACACAATCACAGGCTGAGCTCCAACATGGTCATCCACTGATTTTTAGAAATTTCTGAAGTTTTTAGAAATAATTTAAAAAATGGAATGACAACACAGGGACAAAACCTAGCAAAACAGAGGAGCTGTTTCACGTGGCCCAGAAAAGAAATGTCACAAGCAAGCCTTCGCCAGGAAGCTACTTGTGGCTGGCAATGTGATGGCATCTCTAATGCTCCTTCAGCAAAACTACGGGAACTGCCAAAGGGGTCTGGGGGTGCTTTTGGGATGCATTGGGGCAGCTCTGTAGCAGTTTATTTTGGACAAATCAGTTAGGTGTTGACATGGCCTTTGAGATGTGTAGTGATGGAATTCTGTTACTGCTGCCGCATAGTCACAGAGCTTCATCAGAGCTCCTGCCCATCATGGGCATCTCAGGCTAACATCAACAGAGATGTTTGCATGATCAAAAGGAGGGAGGTGAGCACAGGAAAAAGAGGTTGACAGCAGTGGGCTGTATGGACAGCAGACTGGTTGACATCAGACTCAGTTGTGGTCTCCACACTGTGCCCAAGATATGGGGCTACTCCAGAGTTTGGCCCAATCTCCAGGTAAATTCCCTAACTTTCCTTAGCATGGGACTAATTGGTTTAATCTGGTTTCACACACAGTAAGGACCAGAAATCTCTGGACATCATGTAAACATGTAAACACTATGGATTTTGGGTCTCGTGTAGATGAGTTCTTAGAGTTGGATTCAAACCTTTATTTAGCAAGAATTTAATGTCCCTTTGGGTATTCCGTCAGTGTTCCTAAAGTGACAGAAAATGCAATGAGCCATGAGATGATTGACTGTTTTACATGGTTGTTGTACAAGTGGATAGGATGTATTATATTTCAGTACTTTGGAGTAAATAAGGTATGGTTAGAGCAGTGAATTAGTGTAGTAGAATCTCAGAGCATATTTGATGCTTATTTGCTCTACAGGTGGAATTTGCTGTACTGAGAGGGAAGGGGAGGAAATAATAATTAGGCTCGAATCTTATTGTTAGTGGCAACTAAGTTAGACCCATTGAATTAATTAGATTCATAATTTAAGGGTATATTCTAGGGGCCTTATTTCTCATGCCAGTAAGGTAATGCTCAAGATCCTGCAAGGAAGACTCCAGCAATACATGGAGCGAGAGTTGCCAGATGTTCAAGCTGGGTTTAGAAAAGGCAGAGGAACGAGAGACCAGATTGCCAATATCCGCTGCATAATGGAGAAAGGCAGGGAGTTTCAGAAAAACATCTATTTCTGCTTCATTGACTATTCTAAAGCCTTTGACTGTGTGGATCATAATAAATTGTGGCAAGTTCTTAGTGGGATGGGCATCCCAAGCCACCTTGTCTCTCTCCTGAGGAATCTGTACAAGGACCAAGTAGCAACAGTCAGAACTGACCACGGAACAACAGACTGGTTCACGATTGGGAAAGGCGTACGGCAAGGCTGCATCCTCTCACCCAACCTTTTTAACTTGTATGCAGAACACATCATGCGATGTGCGGGCTTGATGAATGCAAGGCTGGGGTAAAAATTGCTGGAAGAAACATTAACAACCTCCGATATGCAGATGATACCACCTTGATGGCCGAAAGCGAGGAGGAGCTGAGGAGCCTTCTAATCAAGGTGAAAGAAGAAAGCGCAAAAGCCGGGTTGCAGCTAAACATCAAAAAAACCAAGATTATGGCAACAAGAATGATTGACAACTGGAAAATAGAGGGAGAAAATGTGGAGGCCGTGACAGACTTTGTATTTCTAGATGCAAAGATTACTGCAGATGCAGACTGTGGCCAGGAAATCAGAAGACGCTTACTTCTTGGGAGGAGAGCAATGTCCAATATCGATAAAATAGTAAAGAGTAGAGACATCAGACTGGCAACAAAGATCCGCCTAGTCAAAGCCATGGTATTCCCTGTAGTAACCTACGGATGTGAGAGCTGGACCTTAGGGAAGGCTGACCGAAGGAAGATAGATGCTTTTGAGCTGTGGTGCTGGAGGAAAGTTCTGAGAGTGCCTTGGACTGCGAGAAGATCCAACCAGTCCATCCTCCAGGAAATAAAGCCCGACTGCTCACTGGAGGGAAAGATACTAGAGACAAAGTTGAAGTACGTTGGCCACATCATGAGGAGACAGGAAAGCCTAGAGAAGACAATTATGCTGGGGAAAGTGGAAGGCAAAAGGAAGAGGGGCGGACCAAGGGCAAGATGGATGGATGGCAAAGAGGGGCCGACCAAGGGCAAGATGGATGGATGGCGTCCTTGAAGTGACTGGACTGACCTTGAGGGAGCTGGGGGTGGTAACGGCCGACAGGGAGCTCTGGCGTGGGCTGGTCCATGAGGTCACGAAGAGTCGGAGACGACTGAACGAATGAACAACAACAACAACAATTCTAGGGGTCTACTCTATTTGGATCTAAGCACCAGAATCCTGGCTATTGTTTTGTATCCATTTATTTTTGAATCACTTCCACAGAATTTTGTTGCCATTCTAACCTTTCTAGACTTTGAAAGCATCAAAATAGCATTCAGGTCATATAGTTTAAAAACACTTTGTGGCAACAGTTATGTGTTTAGGTAACAATCCTGAAAATGGCATATATCCCAGCTTCAGGAAATCAGTAAACACGAATTAATAAGAGCATAAGGAAGCTGCTAGAATTTTATTTTATTTTTTGCATTTGCAGATCAAAATGCTAGAGCCTGCAATTGAAATAATTAAAGCTTTACTCATTAAATAATATACAGGTTGAACATCCCTTATCAAGAATACCAAAATCTGAAACTCCAAAACTGTCCACACAGGTAGATGAAATGGTGAAACTTTGTTTCATGCACAAAATTATTTTTAAAAATTGTATAACATTACTTTCAGTCTTTGTTTATAAGGTGCTTAGCAAACATAAAGGAATTTTGTACATAGACATAGTTTCCATCTCCAAGATATCTCATTCTGTCTGTATGTGCAAGTACGGCAAAGTCTTCCAAAATCCAAAATACTTTTCATCCTAAACATTTAGTATAAGGGATATTTGACCTGTACAATAATATTCTTTAAAAGCTCTTTATTAGAAAGGTATATAAATGCTTTAAATAACTTCTCCTACTGTAATCCATCTTTAATGCATACAATTAGATTCTCCTTTTCATTTTGTTTAGTACTAGCCATCCCCTGTCACGCGTTGCTGTGGCCCAGTCTGTGTATATGTGTTTTGTGTCTGTATATATGTGTATATGTGTATGTGTATTTGTGTGTGTGTGTGAGTGTGTGTGTATATATATATAGGTGTATGTATGGGTGTTTTTGTATATATATATGTGTGTGTGTGTGTGTGTGTGTATATTTGTGTATTTGTGTGTTTATATGTATACATGCATATTGTATATATGCATGTGCTTGTCTATATGCATTTTGTATGTATATGTGTGTATGTATGTGTATATGTATATGTGTGTGCATGTGTATATGTATGTGTGTGTATATTTGTGTGTGTGCATATATATATACGTGCGTGAATGTGTGCATGTGTATATGTATATGAGTGTATGTGTATATGTATATAGTGTGTATTTTTGGGGGTTTTAAGTCTGTTCTGCTGGGGTTGTGTGTGTGTGTATTTTTAGGGGTGATGGACACTCATTGGACTGTTAGGTGTCTTGTGTCCAAATTTGGTGTCAATTCGTCCAGTGGTTTTTGAGTTCTGTTAATCCCACAAACAAACATTACATTTTTATTTATATAGATATATGAGGTGTACAAAAGCTTATATACAAGGACAGAATTCAAGATTGATCTCATATTTGGCCAGATAAACCTTGGATTACTTTTCTGTGCAGAAGGGGATAATGGGTGTTATTTTTTTTTTGCTGTATCTTTTTTAAGGTGTTTCTCTAGACTACTGAGTCATAGTAAAAGCCTAGGGAGCCAGCCCCTGGGTGTGTTGTTGCACAGAAATAATAGAATAATAGCATCAGCCACGATACTGAAACAGGGCAATCTCCATCAGTGATGGGCAGACATTATATTTGCAGTGATTACAGAAAATCTAACATTAGAAGATGCTACTGAGTAATAATGGTGTAAGCAAAATATGCCATATGACTGTGATGAAATCTTGTCCCTATGTAGTTTTCTGACTTTTGAAACAAATTTAAAGGTAAACATGGATCTAAGTGGCTTTCTCACCTGTGCTTTTGGTAATAACATTTAAGAATAAAGGCAAAAATCCAGAAGTCTTAATAGTGTTCTGATTCTGGGTGTTTTCTTTTAGCACCTACTACCGTACCTATAATTACGACCATACCTGTAATTACGACAGAATCAAATTTCCCTACCATAACAACAGAAGAGCCTATGGGGTAAGTATGGACACACACATAACAATAGATTTTTTATTTTTTTTTGCCATCAGGAGCTACTTCTCAAGTGTCAGGAGCTACTTGAGAAACTGCAAGTTGCTTCTGGTGTGAAAGAATTGGCCGTCTGCAAGGACGTTGTCCAGGGGACGCCCAGATGTTTTTATGTGTTACCATCCTTGTGGGAGGCTTCTCTTATGTCCCGCATGAGGAGCTGGAGCTGACAGAAGGAGCTCATCCACGCTCTTCCTGGATTCGAACCTGAGACCTGTTGGTCTTCAGTCCTGCCGGCACAAGGGTTTAACCCACTGCACCACCGGGGGCTCCTATAACAATAGATACAAATACTGAACAACAAACAGAAATGCCATTCCAGGGAAATCTCAGGCATACAAGCCATAATTTCTATTTATAGATTCTAGTTTTCTGCTGTTATATTTTGCTGTTGTTGTTGTTACCTCAGTTTTCTGTGAAAAGTGAATTGCCAGCTGAGCACCAAGTAATAAAGTGGGATATTTCACGTGCCAGCTTCCATTCCAACATTGCTAACAAGTTTTGCTTTCATTATTATAATTTGTGAGTTTGGCCAGACTGGGGTGGGCACATAAAGAAAGAATTCTGGGAATGAAAGAGTTGAGGACATGACCAATTTTGCTTGGCATAATCAATAAGGTGGCTTTCAGCAGAAGGCAAGAAGGGAAAGACCATTCTTCTTGATTGCAGGCCCATCTCTGGAAGAAGCCCCAGATCTTCCATGTTCTATTCAGTAAGAACAGGTCCATTCACCCAACAATTCTGAACTGTATGCCAAATAAGCCTGAGATTGTAATGCCTTATGTCCACTTACACTCTTTTTAAAATTGCAGCCCTGATTTCCCTGAGAACTTGACAATCCTGCTACCTGTTGTGTTTTTAGTATTGGTGGTCATCTTAATAGGAGCACTACTGCTAATGTGGCAGATAAAGAAGAAAAAAGGTGGGTGGAAACATGGAAATGTCCCTGTGTATATCTTACCTTCCTCTGTCTCTTTTCTGAGTTCCTCCATATTCTCTTCCTATCCCTTTGAACTTTGTGACTATTCCTCCCTCCCTCCTTCCTTCCTCCTTCTTTCCCTTCCTCCCTTCTTTCCTTCCTTCCCTCCCTCCCATATCCCAGGACTTTTTTTCAGACTGATATCTGTACAGCCTATGCATACATGGTTATGTCGGCATAATCAGCAGGATTCCAGCCAAGGTATCAACACCTTTCAGGATTAAGGAGTTGAATCTTAGACTACAATGTTATCCTACTTGTTATGAGCAACACATTTCTGCAAGTGTAGAAACTTGTAAAACAGGAAAACAGCACAGTATTATATGTACTGTCCCGGCAGAGGAGAGAGAGAGAAAGAGCTTATTTGTTTTCTTTTATTATAAGATGAAACTACATAAACATCTTATTATAAGATGAAAGTACATAAATATCTGAAAACAGATATTTATGTATAAATGGAAGTACAAATAACAATACAACCTCCTGAAAGACCAATCAGATTTTGAAATAACATTGTCAGTTGGGTCATAGATACGTTCTCAGGCAAAGATATAGGAAGGGGGAAGCAAGAACAAAACTGAACAAAAACTACTTCTTGCAAGAGCAACCGCCCACATCTCCTTTGAGAAACTTCCTTCCTGCTTTGAGAACTCTATTTGTAGACATTACATAATTTGGAAGGAATACATTGAAGCTAATACTGTTACACATTATTATTTTTAATAATAGAGACCAACAATTTTATTATCAGCATTATAACAACAATATTGATGGTAAGGGTTTTGTATCACAAGTTACATTTAACTTTTTATTGAAGGAGATTATGTAGGAGCTGGGGCTGGAATTAGTTCTTTTTTTCTGTAAAAGTAATGATAACAGCTGGAGTCATGCATAAATAACATGTTTTGTTATTTGCTAGTCTTGTACCTCATTATGCTTCCGTTAGAAGGTAAAGGTTTCCCCTTGACATTAAGTCTAGTCATGTCCGACTCTGTGGGGTGGTGCTCATCTCCATTTCTAAGCCAAAGAGCTGATGTTGTCTGAAGATGCCTCTAAGGTCATGTGGCCAGCCTGACTGCAAGGAACGCCATTACCTTCCCGCTGAAGCAGTACCTATTGATCTACTCACATTTGCATGTTTTCAAACTCCTAAGTTGGCAGAAGCTGGGCCTAACAGCGGGAGCTCATCCCCTCCCCGGATTAGAACCGCTAAGCTTTCGGTCAGCAAGTTCAGCAGCTCAGCAGTTTAACCCGCTGTGCTACCGGGGGTTCCCTATGTTTCTGTTACTGCTTACTTATTTATTTACTGCTTACTGATCTCATTTTAGCTTTGAAATGTTTAGTGCTGCTTTCAAAAGCTCTGGAAAATTCTACAGATTTTTCTCCAAGTGTTCACATTGCTTTTTCACCTGATCTGGTTTGCTAAGAAAAGAAAAGAAAAGAATGGTGATATGTTGCATTGGTGCCTTACAGCTATTTATCTTTCCAGCTGCCAAAGAATGCAAGGATGTTCCACTGCCTATGGTAAGCAACTATTGGGTTTCTTTCTTTTTCTCTCCCTTTTAGTTGTTTGTATATATACTTCCAACCTCCTTGATACTGCAAGCCACCTGGACCAAATGACAAAATATATTTCTCATCCATGCCAACAGTTGGAACCTTCCCTGTGTGTCACAGTCACACGAGCAGACAACATGTCTTTGCATTAGCTGATTGCAAAGTTACCCTAGGTGTAGAGTGCATCTACACTGTAGCATTAATGCAATTAAATACTATTCTAATTACCATAGCTCAATGCTATGGAAACGGGAGCTATAATTTCACAAGGGCTTTAGCCTGGTGCCTCACCAAACTACAAATTCAATAATTCCATAAAATCCCATAAGTGACTCTTGCCTTGTTCTCTGCATACTTGACCAACATGTTTTCTACCTGGACACTCCTCTCCATGGCTATTTTAGTGGCCATTTGAGGACAAGGGGCAGATGGGTGCAGGGAAATGACTCAACCTCCTGTGCCTTTGGAAGACCCCAGGGAGCTTGAGATGATGGCATTTCCTTCATGTAGATGGCAGCAGGAATATTGCCAGCTAATTGAGCAAACTTTGAAAATGGTGATTTATCATCAGTAAATATTTGATTTTTAGATTTATTTTATATACCCATATGCTCGGGGGCATGTAAACATTTCTCATGCTGAAAGGGGTCACAAGAGGAAAAGTTTAAGAAGTCCTGACTTGGATGACAAAGGAGCAGCTGGTTTGGGCTGCAAAATTTCAAACATCTCTGGTCTCAAGCATTTCAGATAAAGGATACTCCACCTGTATTCGCTAAGACCATTTCTTGTGGCTTCTCGGGCAGCATTTGGATTTTTAGGTTTGAATATGTTTTAATGTATTTTAACGGTGAATTTTTAATATTGTTATGTTTAATTCTGTTTTAATGTTTGAATAGTTGCATATTTTAAATTGTATATTCTTACTTTTAATTGGAAGCCACTTTGAGTTGTCTTCAGAAGAGATAAAGCGAGGTTTAAATATACATAGGAATAATAATAATAATAATAATAATAATAATAATAGTGGTAATCGGCATACTCGGTGCCATGCCAAAAGATCTCAGTCGGCATTTGAAAACAATAAACATTGACAAAATCATGATCTGTTAACTGCAAAAGCCCACCTTACTTGGATCTGTGTGCATCATTCAAAAATACATCACACAGTCCTAAATGCTTGTTCAACTTGTGATTTTGTGATACGAAATCCAGCATATACATCTCGTTTGATGTGTCATACTGTGTTGTTGTGTCAGAATAATAATAATAATAATAATAATAATAATAGCATAAAATCTTGTCTGCCCTGCCTTATGAGCTCCCTTGTTTTGGGGAATGGACAAAAATCCTGGTTCTTACCTACTTTAGTGGCATTCCTGAGATTATAGTGTAAATGAATAGCTTGCTGAGATCTGTTCAAGCACAGAAAATGTTGGTTTATATTCAGTGTTCTTTTGGTTTATTCTCAGTCTCCGAGACAGGAAGAAGGGAACCCTTCAAGTGCAGCTGTGAAGCCAAAACTTAATCACAAAGCAGCACCTTCTGAAGTCAACCAAGCCATGAACTACCACCCAGGAGAAGTGGAATACACATCTGTCACAAGAAGAACACCAACTGCTGATACTGCTTCTCTGCCACAGGTCTCTCCCCCCACATAACATGATTTGCCACAACTTTTCATTTTTAAAAATAGCCTGTTTTTTACTCTTCATGAATGTTAAAAAAATGTATAGAAATGCTAGGTTTATAGACCACACCACAAAGATGATAGTTTTGGAAGAAACCTTTGTTGACAAAGCATTATCTGCCTTCCTTTCCCCCCTCTCCCACCCACAAGCCTGAAACATGTATCCCATTTAAATTCCAGCTCTGTTTCCCATACTCGTGCAAATGGTACTTACATGTCATCATTATTATTCTTGTTGTATCCTTCTAATTTTAATCCTGGTCTCCATGGTCCTGTTCTAACACCCAAACCTTTTATGCTATTTCTTCAAAGAACTCAGAATCTGGACTTTTCAAGCCTTTGAAAATTAGATGTTATTTAAACAATGCTCCCACATTTTAACAAATCCAGGCCCCCATCATGAGCCCTGATATGAAACCCTCCCTGTGAGAGATATGTGAGGCTAAGCCAAAGGCAGGGTCACCCACTTTACTCTAGTTTGGCCGGAGTTGCTCCAATGTGGATCTAGCTCACAGTCTAAAACACTTCCACTCTTGCATTTGCTTTTATAACCCCAGCTGATCTCTTTTGCTCTGTGTGGTATATTAGATGATAACAGCAACAATAGAGGAAATGAGAGTCAAGACCTTTGAATGTACAAGTGATAGAAACATACTGACAGTTAAACATGGTGCCCTAAATCAGAAATGGGCAGGTCTGAGAGGCTAAGGGAGTGCATTAACCCCAACCCTCACAAGGGACCTTGAAAGCAGAACCCTGCCCCTACTTATCCCACTGTGAAAAAAGTCCAAAACCTTTTTTAAGCCATGGGAAATGTGTAATATAGAAGGCTCTTCTTGATCTTTTACCAATTTGGAAGATGGCCTCTGGCTTCCACATCCTCTGGAGCAGTAGTTCTTAACCTGTGGGCAGCGGACCACCAGTGGGCTGTGAGGATGAAAATCTGGTCCGTGAGCCTCCTTCCTCTTGACTTTTTTAAATTTCTGCTTCTTTTGTGCTGCCTGCCACTCCTTTCCTGTTGCTGACCAAGGCATATGTACTGTATCAGAAACTAGAGTTGATGTGGTCTATCCAATGTGATTTTCTGAATCAACATCCCATACTGAATCTAAAGCTGACCAAAAACTAATTTGTAACCCTTTTGGTACTAATGTTGGAGAGTGGCCCCTGGTCAAAGTGATCCCTGGTCAAAGTGGTCCCTGGTCAAAAAAAAGGTCAAGCTGCAACTGTTTAATTTCACCTTGGCTTCGCTTCCTCATAAAGGGCACGATTTTGCTCCCCCCCCCCTCTTCCCTCTCCCCTCCCCCCACTGAGTGAATTAGGAACACACTACTTTTGCACTGTGAAATCAGTTTGCAGAAACTGAAGTAATCTGAGCATGAAAGAGGAAAGAGGAAGTAGGATAAAAGCAGCTGAAAGAATGTGACGAGAGAGAATGAAGGAGGCCTGTCCCTGCCAAATTTGAACAGTGGGATGATATGTGGTCCCCAGCCTGCAATATTCTTATTTCTGGTTTACTTTCTAACTGAGCAATAACTAGTGTTCCTTGTTTTTATTTTCCAGGCTCATACCAACACAGAAAACATTGCTTATGCCAGCTTAAGTTTTTTTAACCCAAATGAGCAAGCCATTTATGCCAATGTAAATTAAATGTTCCACACAATCCTGACTACAAGACAGTGCTGTGAAATGAAGAAGAATGAGATGGAAACTCATCTATGGGACACTTCTCTTCTTCTTTGTGGAATGGGACGTATATTGTTCCAGACACTTGTCAACCAGGAAATGTATATTTGTAAGAGGAAATACCATTGCCATGACAAGCCAGCCTTAGCTATGGCTTCATACACATCATTGAAACTGCAGTTTCAATGATGTGTATGAAGCCATAGCTAAGGCTGGCTTGTCATGGCAATGGTATTGTCAGTGTAGACTTATATAATGCATTGAACTGCATTACAGGAGTCTACATTGACCATATCATGCAGTTTATGCATGATATGTGCAAGACAATTGAAGGGAGATATTGACAAGATGGAATGTGTCCAGAGGAGGGTGACTAAAATGATCAAAGGTTTGGAGAACAAGCCCTATGAGGGCTGGGCATGTTTAGCCTTTGGAAGAGAAGCCTGATAGGAGACATAATGAGGGCCATGTATCAAGATGTGAGAGGAAGTCACAGGGAGGAGGGAGCAAGCTTTTTTCCTGCTGCTCTGGAGACCAGGACGCGGAACAATGGCTTCAAACTACAAGAAAGGAGATTCCACCTGAACATTAAGAAGAACTTCCTGGCTGTGAGAGCTGTTTAGAAGTGGAATTCTCTGCCCCGGAGTGTGGTGGAGGCTCCTCCTTTGGAGGCTTTTAAGTAGAGGGTGGATGGCCATCTGTTGGGGGTGCTTTGATTGCGATTTTCCTGCTTCTTGGCAGGAGGTTGGACTGGATGGCCCATGAGGTCTCCTCAAACTCTGATTCTATGGCATTATATGGCAGTGTACATGGGGCCAATATTTCAGTCCAAACCTATAAGTCAGTCTTTTTTTTGAGCCAGCACAACATGACTGTTCTGACTAGTAGTGATAGAAAATGTAACCCCACACAACCAGTGTTGTTCGCACTGCACTGCTGATCAGTTGTTATGCTTCCATAGTCCCAATATGGTTTCTGGAATTTAAACTCTCCAGAACTTTATTTTTTTTGCAAGAACACCATTGCACAGCCATTGAAATTGCTTTCTGGGGCTCATGTAAACCAAATTGTTCCTGTGAAATTCCTCTGTATATTGGAATCCAGGTGGTACAAAAGTTACCTGTAATTTGGCTGTTTCCCTCTGTATAATTGAGCTGTGGTCCTTGTCTTTTTCGATTTGCTGTTGGGGATGTTCTCTTGGGAATAAAGTATTTTAAGTGAAGGGATGCAAGTGGCTTCTAATAGTGAGAATAAACCAAGAGCTACTTTTTGAAAGAAAAGGAATAAGTAACACTGAGCCTGGAGGCTTATTTTGCCACAGAGGAGAGGAAAGTTTTCTAGTTGCCTGCTTCATTTTGGTGTCTAGGGGATTGAGCTGTCCTGCTGAGAACACAGAAATGTGTTTTGAACTGTTCAAAGAGAGACTGCTTGGAGATATTCTTTCTGTGCTCCTGAGTTTCCTTTTATGATGGGGAACATGATTGTGTTGAGTTGTTGCTCTTTGTGTTTGGAAAGAGCACTGGATCTTGTGAATGATCTCCCAGGAGTACACATAAACTGGAAACTTTTTACAATTTGAATAAGCAAAGAGATGTTCTTAAAGGACAAGGAAGTTTCTGCTCTTCCAGAGCTAAAGCAGAAGGAGAGGAGAAAAAACAAAGCAGGGGAAGAAACACACTCCATTATCCTCTGCTCTCTCCACCTGTTTTGACTGCCATTCAGGCACAGTGATACAGTGTGTCCAGAGCAAAAGAGCACATAGAAGCAGGGCCATCACATCAGCTGTACAGGAAAGACCAACACCATTTGGCCCTTCCTTTCTTTGATCATTTCCCCTCCCAGGTGACCATTTTAGGAGATCTGTAGCTAAGAAAATTAACATGAGTTAATGTTTATGCTTCACACCCAGTCCCTTTTCATTTTATGCCAAGTTATTTAGATGGCACACACTGATATTAGATCAAATACTGCTTAATTATGGATCTTTGTAAGTCAATCTGGGAAATGTTTTTGTTTGAAGATAAAAGGGGAAACATTTTCAATAAATCATCTCATGATGTTAATGAAAACACTTACTTGCACATATCTTTTCTGCATTTTAAAAAGAAAACTCCAGTTCAAGGTGTAGAATTACCTGAGGAATTGCTGAGAAAGGCGGTAATTGCCATCAAGTTGATTACAAATGAAGAAATTGGCAAGTCACCCTATCTTTAGCTGCCCTACTCAGGTCTTGCAGACTTAAGGCCAGGGCTTCGCTCTTTGAATCCACCCATCTTGAATGCAGTCTTGCTCTTTTCCTACTATCTTTTACTTTTCCAAGCATTATTGTATTTTCTATTGAGTCATGTCTTCTTATGATATAGTCAAAGTACAATATCCTCCACTTATTGAGAAGTAACTATCATAAATATTGGATTGACATATTTCGGTTTCTGGAATTTTTATCCAGAAAGTAACTCTTCTGAGCCCTAGGATTACAGCCTGTGTTTGAGGCCCCATCTACACTGCCATATAATTCTATTTCTGAAACCACATTATCTGCTTTGAACAGGATTATATGGCAGTATAGACTCATATAATACAGTTCAAATCAGATAATCTGGATTTAGAAACTGGATTATATAGCAGTGTATATCCAGCCTGGGACTGAGTAACCAGCTAATTCTGGCTGTGAGAAAAAAATTTAGAGGCCTTCTGAAGTCTCTGATATTGCCTATACTGCAAAAAAAAAAATGAACCCACTTGCCACATCTCACTAATCTACATAGAGAAAAACAAATTCAAGATGACAATGCTATACACTTTTACATGGGAGTAAGTTCACTGAACTCAATGAGACTTACTCTCAATAAATCCTATGTAAGACTAAGGACCTCATCAGATGGCGTGAATTCAGCATGTCAATGCTTGGTAGAGGACCACCTCTTACTCCCAGTCAATTCAACCTGGGCAAATTTGACAGCTCCTTTCTGGGGTGTTTCCCCCAGTTACATCCTCATTCCTGAGGTTCAGAAAACAATTTCTGACTGTCTTCTCCATACTCCCCTTTTTATGATTATTTTTGACATTTCACTGACAGGAAGTTCTCCTTTGTTTTGGGAAGAGCTCTGTCATAAAGCATACCCTCAATCGATAATAAATGCTTTAAAGTTGGGGGGATAAGGTCTATAATGAACTGTGTTGGCCCACATGTGTGCATTGTGGAGATAAGTTGGTTGTTCTTCTCAAGACTGCAAAGAAACAAGTTCATAAACCTTGGCAAGAAAACAGGAAGGAGGAAACAACACTGGCTTTTCACTTATTCTGTCAGCTCTTATATTATCTAACCAAATGTGTGGTGACGTCATTAGCAGCTAGTTCCAAATAAGAAAGGGACTATGTCAGAGAAAGATATAAGTATTTGCATGTGTCTCATTGAAATGGGATTAATTCACAGTTCATGCAGATCTCCAGCTCTAGTGTTGCTAAAAGCTGGTAAATAATTCACAGCTGCTATGAATGCTGACATGTAGTTCCCCATCCTGTACCTCAAGTTCCCTTAAATGAACTAAATTGCTATGTCAATAGAGAGGCTTTTAATGTCATGTTACCTAAATAACAATCAATAGCATTTATTCTCAGGAGAATGGAAATTATTTATAGGCAGAGAGAACTGTACCTCTGCACATCAAAACTCACAGTTGGTCCAGGGACACACAAATGCATAGTAACTAAAGGCTTAATATACTGGCACTGCACGTGCAAACAATGGGTAGGTGGGTGGCAAGTCTCTGTGGCTCATATTATTAATTATTATAATTAATAATATTTTTATTTAAGCTTTTGATGATATGATTCACAATTTATTTCATCTGGTGCATATATATGTAAAAAGGCATTACATAGTTGTATTTTGAATACTGTTGTTAACAATTGTATGAACACATATAATGCATAAATTTACAGCTCTTGTGATTGTACCTTGTCCTTTTATAAATTCTATTTAACTGACTTCCTGTTGTTACTCCAGGACATCCTGCTCTATTTACTTTGTTTTATCTGATATTTTCAATTAAAATTGTTAACTTTCCAATCTCAAGCAAAAATATAAAAGGGGGTTTATTTTAATTGTCAAAACCGGTGAAGACCCAATCTTTTTTGTTTTTTCAGATACAATAAAATGGTGTCCAATTGTTTTGAAAGTTCTGTATAGATTCGTTTTTCAATATACAAGAGAGTTTATCCATAAATTGAATCCATTTTAATAACCAATCATCCAAACTGTGGTTCATATTCTTAATTTACCTGCTATATTGCTGAGAATCAACTTTCAGTCTGGGGACTAGTATGGGCCAGTTTTGAGTGGAGGTTCCTTAGAGCAATCTCGAAGTTTTCATATTGAGGAATGGTCATTTCTGTGGCAATGGATTGGAAGGCTGGGAAATTAGCAATATGGAAAGGCAAGACATAAACAGCCCTTCCCATATGAGCATGCTTGCACTCTAGGATGTTAAGGGACAAATTTCTCTCTGTCCCATCCAGTGCCCGATCCATTGCCAGCCATCATATGCCATTCAGCTTTTCTTTTACTCCTGGGGCCTGGCCAGATAGTGTCCTGTCTGGTTTCATCTCACAATGCTACTGGTTTTGTTTATCACCCTGCTGGTGTCTTCACCAGCTTTTTTCTTTTTAGTTTCATCAAAATCATAGACATGGAAAACACACATTCAGGCCCCACAGAACTCCTCTACCACACCAGACTAAGAAAATTTGGTTAGTTGGGAATAACCTCATCAGCAGCCTTACCCAACAAGCTAATCTGCAGGAGGAAGACCAGAGGACACTTCCACATGGACTAAAGCAGGTGGTCAAAATGGAACCCCCCAGATATTGTTGAACTGCAACTCCTAGAAGCCCTCACCAGCCCAACCAACGATGAGGAATGCTAGAAGTTACAGTTCAAGGATGTCTGGAGAACTACCTGGCTCTCACCCCTTGATTAAATGAATGTACAAATGGGGATGTTTTCAGGATGCAATCTATTGAAAAAGCTCTGGCTGTTCAGACCAAAGGCCTATGAAGTGCAACTATCTTTTTCCATATTGGTCAACTAGTTGCTAAAGAGAAACCTTCAAGAATGACCGAAGAGCAATA